TTTATTTATTTTTTTGTACTGGGGATGGAACCCAGGTTTTTCACAGAGTAATATCCACAGGCCCCTTCCCTTTTTAAAAATTAATTAACTTGGGCCGGGGATTTAGCTCATTGGCGGCATGCCTGCCTCCAAGTGCAAGGTCCTAAGTTCAATTCCCAGTATTGGAAAAAAAATTAACTAATTAATTAATTTATTTATTTTTGAGATAAGCCTTCTCTAAGTTGCTAAATTGCCCACGCTCTTCTCAACCTTGTGATCTCCTGCCTCAGCCTCCCAGAGTGCTGAGATCACAGACATGCACCTCACATTGGACTCTCCTTTTATTGGTGGTAGTAGTAGGACATTATTCACTATTCCTGATTCACAAACTTGTTGATTCTCTATTCAAAAAACTTAGGTGGAGGGCCAGGGATTTAGCTCAGTGTTTTCGCCTCCTGCTTCGCAAGCGCAAGGACCAGAGTTCAATCCCTGGTACCAAAAAAACCCACAAAAACTTAGGTGGAAAATAGATTAATGACAGATTTGTGCAATTTTTGTTTACAGTAAGTCTCCCACTTATGAACGAGTTCCATAGAGGGAGAACATTCATAAGTTGGATTCATTCATAAGTTCTTATATGCCTTTGACACAAATATACAGTGTAAAGCAAAACAATAACTGCAAGGTCTGTTCATGTCTGTGAAAGTTCACAACTTGATTTTCATAAGTCGTGGACTTACTACAAATTTTATTTTGGCAAAGAGCAGCCAGATTAGCAAAAATTGTGTCTGTTTCCTCAGCCTATGTAATTTGGTGGTGTTTGTTTTGTTGTTGTTGTTGTTTTTCCCTCAAACTTTCTGTGTGGCCCAAATTGGCCTCAAATTTGTGACAATCCTCCTGCTTCAGCTTTCCAGATTGTGGGTTGCAGGCTTGTGCCATTAGTCATCAGAATCTTTTGGGTGGCTTTGCTGACGTATGTGTGGCATAGCTTGCTGTCGCTTACCTTTCCCTTGAAGGTGAGCACCCTTGGGGTGGCACTCAGGCCTGAGCACTAATTCTGGGGTCTCTGGCAGTGAGATTTAGAGCAGGGAACCAGCTCATCTGTATCCTGTCCATCCGCTGGGTCATCAGTTTGCGTATTTGGCACTCTCAGCCCTGGGGAAATGAAATGTCAACCTCATCAAGAGAAAGTTGGGACCCTTATGGGGGGGACTGTTCAAGGATGTTTCACATGTCCTTCATGGCCACCAATCTAACATTTTTTAAAGTAATGCCTGGCTATCTATAAGGAGAAAGAAAAACCCTAGGGAATAACATTTACATGGAATTTTAAAATACAAGTGTGAATAGTGTAAAAGCTTTAAGAATTTCCTTATTCTTCAGACTTTTTATTGATATTCTAAAGAAAAGACCATCTTCAAATAAAAATTAAAATGGGTTTTCCCACATACAAGGCTCAGTGTTTTTACAGCTCTCAGACTTTGTAAACTGTGGCACTTATCAGGGTTATCAAAGATTATGGTTCATGCCAGGAGTAGAATATATGCAAAGACTCTTGTTAATTGAGGGTAAAAGTAACTATAGAGATAGTATTTCCGGATCCTATGTTAGCAAATAGTACACTTCTCTCAAACGATTATAATTTTAGAACTTTACACTTGCACCATATACCTTCTCTGTTTCATTTTGTTTTATGGTAAAAGAACTTGTAATGATGAACAATAGGAAGGGCAAAGAACACTAAGTTGAAAATTATAAACTTCTTGCTAATCTTCTAACTTGCTAATTTAAATCTTGGGTATTTTTATTTAAATTTCCATAACACTATTTAAAAAGAGCCAAGAAGCTTATTCAATTTAAAGTTATATTTTTCTGATTATATAGTAAATTGTAAAGAAAAAAATACCGCTTAGAAATATTCCTTGTTAAGATTCTAGCTATAGGGCCGGGGGTTTAGCTCAGTGGTTCTGCTGCCTGCCTCACAAGTGCAAGGATCTGAGTTTGATCCCTGGTACCAAAAAAAAAAGATTCTAGTTATATATTCTAGTTAAATAATCCTTGTTGCTATTTTAGTTAAGACTCTAGTAAATTTTAGTGGTTGTTTCCATTTGACCTGTCTTCTTGAGGGGACTATGATTTTCAAATTGTTCAGAATTGATTTTGTTTTACATTTTTATATATTTTTCTATTTAACCCCTATTATTAACAGTTTGTTTTGTTTTTTGAGACAGAATTTTGCTTTGTAGTTTAGGCTGATCTTCAACTCACTTCATAGCCCAAGCTGGCCTTGAACCCCCACATCAATCCTCCTGCCTCAGCCTCCTCAGTGCTGAGATTACAGGTGCACACCACCATGCCTGTCTTAATTCCTATTAATTTGTGAATATACCTATATTGCA